TTTTTGCAATAACTTTTTTGTTTATTAACCGATTTTAATTTAACCAGTCTTATTTTGTAGATAATTTTACTCCCTATAAGCTGTCTGAGAGTCACTTTTCGCTAAAATTGATGGTTTTCCCTGCAAAGTGAAAAAACTGTTTTCCTCACTTATTTGTTTAAATAGAAAAGTTAGCTAATAAAAGTTTTTGACTCACGAGACGAGAGATGTTTTGTATTATGTTCCTTTAAACAATTTTACAATAATCTAGCGGATAGGACTTTTTTCGAGTAAAAATTTAATTTGCTTGGTCTATCCATCAAGTAAGAGTACCGAGTCTCTGATGCTCTGTGGTTTTTGTTTTCAACAAAGTTGGCAACATTGCATTCAAGGCCAAGATGTGGGAGGAGAGCGCGCTCCCGTTTATTTGAGAACTGTTGTTGTAGTAGCGTGTTGAAATGAGTGCCGTTATTCCAAATCCCGCCAGTTGCGAAATGAATAGCTTAATCCGGTTTCTTCTTACAAAGGGAAAGGCGTCGTTCCAGATTTTTAATGAAATCAAAACTGTTTATGGGGATAATGTGATGAATGGTGATGAATGGTAGTAATGTATACAAGTAGTGTCGTGAGCAGGTAGATAGCTGGCTCATAATGAACAAAGGAGAAAAATCATGCCTAATTAAATTTTCACCCCAGGGTGATTCAGAACAAATGAAGGCGACTGTTAACGAAGGGAGTGTGTTTATTGTATAACAATGTACGTCTCCACACAGCTAACGTCACAAAGCAACTCTTGGATTCGTTCGGTTCGAACATCATCACCCCGCTCACAGCCCTGATCTGGCACCTTCTGATTTTCATTTTTTCTCTTATTTGAAGGCGGCGGGAGATTTTCTTGACTAATGTATTAGAGAACTCATTCTTCGGCTCACAAAGTGCTTTGAAGTTGAAGGCGAATACGTCGAAAAATTCTGTTTGATGTAAATATGTAAAATATGTAAATTATTTCATAAATATAGGTACTGCCTTTTTGATTTTATAAAAATTGGGTACTTATTTTGTGGATATGCCTCGTATTACACTCCAAATTATGCATTTTTAACCAAATTTAACCATCTGTCTGTAAAAGTGTCTCAGATATCGAATAACATTCAATATGAATCGCATTATATCCCTATCTTACTTTTCTTTCCATGTGATTCGAAAAATGTACAAATTTTTCTTGTAAGTTGAGTCAGCAATAACTTAGAATATTCAGAAGCAATATGTTTAATTTTTTCATTTATTTTTATATAAATATAAGAAACATGAAACATTCGTGTAAATGAAGGATACTTCAATTTTATAGTTAAAGGTAAAACGTAACATTTTATTAATTACGCCGTACATGTTAAGTAGCAGTTATATTACATTCTATACGGATTGAGTGTATACAGATAAAATATTCATTGATTTTTAATTTTTCCTTGAAGTGATAAATTAATAACAATAATCAGAACTTCCTGTTTATTAAGTACTTTTATCCATGTCCCATTCGCCTGATTATGTCTGTCACATTCAGTTAGTATTGATATTATTCAAAAATAATTAATTCATATAAATAGAGAAAACTATGCAATATCAGTCGGTCCTAATTTAATTATAATTATTAATATAACAAGGTATATTTAAAAAAAGGAGTATCACGAAAAAACAACTCCTCATTTTCAACTGCGATGTTTGGAAGTACCACAGGTAACCTTATCTGAACTGGCAGTACCAAAGGTTTCTACCAATAAGGACTTTTACTGCTACTAAGTAAGTATCAGTCAAAATTCATTTAAAATTTTCTCCAATATTTTTCTGAGTGTTCCATACTGTTTTATAAAAACAGAATTATCATCATTAACTTCAGGAGGCTGCTCCTTTGATCGTTTTTAACCAAAATGTCTTAATTTATCAAGGGTCCAAAGAAAGTGGTTTGTTTTTCGGGGAACAGGGTGTTGACGTTTTAAAAATGTTTTACATTTATTAAACATCTCTGACTGTGCTTGGCTTGGATTGATGAAACTTGGATTACTGTTTTAACCAAACTAAAGATTATTACGGAGTCGAATAAATTTAAAATATCTTTGAAATTGCTTCACAAAATAATATGGTAATTTTTTGTTTGAAATATAGTTTTAAATAATAGTAATTATCATGGAACTTTTTTGGGGCAGTGCTCTTCAAAAATTTATGTAAAAATGATTTTTTACTTTTGCATTTCGAACAAACAATTATTATTTTTTTTTTGTTAAATGAAGCCGATGAAATCATGAGCAGAATTAACAACAATGAAACATATTGTCTTTCTTCCTATATTCAACCTAACGTTTACTCCTAAACAATCTTATTTGGTTGTCGACTCTAATAATAACTAGCCATGGAATCTAAAAATACCAATAACAATCAACTGTACATAATAGATGAGTGGTTAATTGATAACTATCAGCTTTCTTTTAGTTACATCAACAATTGTTATTCATTACACAGGCCAAAAAAGGTCTGTGGCTGAGCACAGAAGTGGTAAAAACTTGGATGGACCCTTACGAAAGTGTTAAAACCCTCCCAAAGGTTTGCCGCATGCGTAGGTTGGTACTATTCTTGATCAGGTTAGGCTATTCTTAAAAAACACTACGCAATTGAGTTATTATAAAAGTTAGTTAGTTATTATAAAAAAACCTGTTTTTGTCGGCTTTTGTTATCGAAATCATTGAAATTAAATAAATAATTATCAAAAAGTTTTAGTGTTTTAGTCAATCAAATGCTATCAAAATATTTAACTTAACAGTTGAGGCAATGAGAAAACAAGGAGAAAGAATTATTGAGTGGTGAAGAAGCCATCTTTTGGACGGGCGATATCACGAAAACCTTGGCTAGTAAGTAATGTGACGACTAGTAGCCCTTTAACAAACTAGTAACGCTTATTGAATTGTTTTGCCTCGTTTTCTTCAAATATCTGAACTTTAATTATATGTTGGTTATAATCAGTTACTTACTTCTAACTTTTAACGTAAGATGGGTGTGGTTTGAAATAAGTTGAAGAACTTCTTTATGAACAGCATCCTCAACTGGAAACCCGTTTACACGAATAATTTGATCTCCCACCTGAAATAAAAGAAATTGTAATAATTTACCATTTATGTAATTGTATAAGTAACAAATGGACGTTACCATTCGTTGTCTAGAAGTTGATTTCATTAGGCCTAATGTGCATTTATTTTAATAATTTATTTGAAAATATAATTTAACTTACACATGCTCTTTCACTCAATCAAAAGGAAAAAAACAATTTTAATTAAAATTATCTAAATCCATGCAGTACATACATTTTCATTAATTCAAACAAAAAAAATGAAAATCAATAATAAATAAATCATAAATACTTAGTACTGGAAATAAATGAAATGTAAAAAAAATATTTATTAAAATACACTAAAAAGAAAAAATAAACCAAGGAATTCATAAAACTCATAATGTGTAAGCCAGAAACTCACAAAAGGGTTGCTCTATAGAAGTGTCGTGTGCAGAAGTATGATAAATAGACACGTACTATCTATAATCAATATGTTCATGTTCTTGTGCCATTTAAAAGCTTGTCCTGAGGTTTATTCCCATTTGGAATTTTTATTTTAAGTGGTAAGTTAAGGAAATTACACCTTTTTTATTTCGCTGCTCTATTAAGATTCATTGCAGTGTGCAATATTATTAGTTTTCTTAGACTTTAGTAAAGCCATATCTCATAATTTTATCATTAACCTAACATTAGGTTTGTTTCTGCAGGAGTTGAGGACAGATTTGGAACTACCAGATATATTCGTCCAATTGCTTCGTGACTTTAAACTCGCTGAAAGTACGTGACAACTTAAGTGGCTGAATATATTTGATTGAAGAAAGTTTGAGACAGCTGCGGAAACAAACTTGTGAACAAATCTGTAAGTCAAGGAGCCTTGTTTTCTTTTTTAAATGGATCAAAAAGAGTTTAATATTTCAAAGTCAATTTCGTCATTAAGAAATTTAAATGTCTTCCGAAACTTCCAATACTATATAATTTTATGTAAATGAGGTCTCCATCTTAGTATACATCTGTATTATTAAAGCAGTTTCTCTAAATACGTACCTTAATCAGTGAAAAAGTGCAACATTGAAATATTTAGGTCATATTTTATTGGTTGAATAGTTTCCAGATTAGTTGACACGTCATCGGTTTAAGCATTTTTCTTCAGAAGAAACTCTGAAACCGTTTCAGAGTTTGTTCTGAAGAAGGGTCTCTCGAAACGACAAGAAGTTTAAAGGATGACGCGACGTGGCAACCGAAAATGTTCAATCACTGACAACTGCCACGGACGCTATTCTCCTATTTTATTCATCCTATTTTATTGTTTTTCTATCTTTAGTTATATTTACAGTTGTCTACAATTTTTTTCCACTTATGCGGGATCCTATACTTTTGTTCCACTAATGTACAATAAATAGCTTCCCAGTAATGGCTACTTCCGCCAAAATAATAGAAATATTAGCCGCATACATAGAAATTTAATATATACGTTGAATATAAAAAATATATTAATAAAATTATCCAGTAGGGCAGCTCTACGAGTTCATTTATTTTTAAGCATTTGATATTTTCAATAATTCAAAACTGCCCTCAACCTGTTTTTATGGAATTCAACAAGGTAATTTTTCGAGACAATATTATACAACCCTTAAAAAAATCTAAAAAAGGAATAACAATTCTATAAAATTAAATTGGGGTTGCTAGAGTTGGGATGGGTCGTGATCATCATATTCGTAATCAGCATCTTCAAAAATACATCCCATATGTTGAGTTAATAGCTAGAGCCCGAAAAAGGGGTGATTTTTGACCAATTGCCAGAGGATGGGCAGGTTTAGAAATTCAACGGACTTCAAATTCGGATTCAACACCCTCGAAAATTAGGGCGGGGCATGGTTTCGTAGCTTCAACATATTCACAAAACTAGACATTATCTTAAGTTTATATCTTATAAAGGCTGAGAAGAATTTAGAACAATTTCAAAATTTTCAGAATATACAGGGTGGTCCAGTTTCCGATGCGGAAACTTCAGGGACCGATAGAGATTCAAAAAATAATATGAGTTTGATATATAAACTATATTCGAAAAATCCTTCGCTAAGGAAATACAGTGTTCAAGATTGGTTTAAAAAAATCAAATTTATTAATTATTGACAAACGGCTAAAGATATTTCAATTAAATTTTGTAGACGTTAACTACCATTGAAAGAGCATATTTTGCAATGTAACACATTATTTTTAGTTTTGCCAGTGGCGTCCGTACTAGCACGTTACTGGATATTTCTAAAGAAAAAATTGGTACGCCACTGCTTTTACATAAAATAAATATCAGTTTTGGATTCTTTATTCAATTTGGAAGAAAAAAGCTCTCTTTCGATTATTCTGTAGGACTCAGCATTTTCAAAGTGATCTTTGAAAAACAATTGAATAAGTACCACAAAATAACAAATTTATCAAATTAATTAGTATCTGTGTCATATTTAGTTAGCTCTCTAGTAATTTGATTTGTAATTATTGTTATTGTTATAGTTATTATTAGTGTTATCCTGAAAAATGCTTTTTAGTAACGAAGAATACGCAGATATTCATTTTTGTTACGGATTTCGTGATGGAAATGCGGAAGCGGCATTTCGTGAATATCGAAGACGTTATCCAAATAGAAGAATTCCAGATGCTCGTGTCTTCATTGGAACACATCAAAAGTTTCGTAACTTTGGCCTGCGTGTTAACAATGAACATAACAGAAACCGTCGCAATAACAATCGGAATCGTATTCTTCGTATTTTTTATGACAATCCGAGGCTCAGCTCTCGCAGGGCAGCTCAGTGACTACAAATATCCAAGTCTCAAATATTACGAACATTACGTGATGACCACAGGCATGCATATCACCTACAGTCTGTTCAGGATTTACACCCTGGGGATGATGAAAAGCGAATGAGGTTTTGCCAGTGGCTTTTAAATACGACGGAAGAAAATCATGACTTTTTCCACAAAATTCTGTGGACGGATGAATCCTCATTCAGTAGACGTGGAATAACGAATTACCACAATATCCATGTTTGGGCATACGAAAATCCTCGAGAAATTCGGCCACGATCATTTCAGAATGAATTTTCCGTACATGTTTGGTTGGGAGTTTTTGATAATAATGCTTGTGATCCACATTTTCTACTCCCAAGGTTAAACTCAGAACTATTTCTTGAATTTCTTACTAATAACCTGCAGGATTACGTCGAGGATATACCCGTTAACTTAAGGCATGAAAGTTGGATACAACTGGATGGAGCGCCCCCGCATTTTGGAATAGCTGTAAGAGAATTGCTAAATACTAATTATCCGCAACGTTGGATTGGCCGGTTAGGGAGGAATGATATGAATCATGACGTGGTTAATGGTATTGGACCAGTGGCCTGGCCACCCAGGTCACTGGATCTTAATCCACTGGACTTTTACGTTTGGGGAAATGTAAAAGACAAAGTATACGCTACTCCAGTGTTAACAAAACATGATTTAGTTTTAGGGATTCAACAAACCTGCAATAATATGCGGCGAATTCCAAATGAAGTAGCTGCTGCAATAAATTTATTAGTTGCACGATGTCGAAAATGTATTGAGGTGGGTGGACCATGTTTCGAGCAATTTCTTTAACTTACATTTTTATTTTATTTTGTTGTTGTTGTTTTTGTCCAGCATTAATTAAATCTGTTGTTTTTCCTGTTACAGTTTCATTAACATAAATTTTTTTATTTATTTACTCGAAAATGTTGAGTCGTACAGAAAAATCGAAAGATAGCTTTTTTCTTCCAAATTGAATGAAGAATCCAAAACTGATTTTTATTTTATGCGAAAGCAGTGGCGTACCAATTTTTTCTTTAGAAGTATCCAGCAACGTGCTAGTACGGACGCCACTGGCAAAACTAAAAATAATGTTTTACGTTGCAAAACATGCTCTTTCAATGGTAGTTAACGTTTACAAAATTTAATTGAAATATCTTTAGCCGTTTGTCAACAATTAATAAATTTGATTTTTTTAAACCAATCTAGAACACCCTGTATTTCCTTAACGAAGCATTTTTCGAATATAGTTTATGTACCAAACTCATATATTTTTTGAATCGGAAACTGGCATACAGGCCACAGGCATACAGAAACAGGCCACCCTGTATAGCAAAACATCATGTTCAAATTTAGAGAGCACAAACTAGACAATTCTAAGCATCAAAAATACAGAAGTTATAGGTCGATCTTCATATATTTCGAAATTATACGTACTTATATATGAAGAAAATATTTAAAATTGAATTATTCAAATTTATTGAGTTACGATATGAATCGATAAACGTACATGCTTAATTTTTTTAATATGAAAAACATAAACATATGATTAATATAACTTTATAAAATCAATTTAATCGCTCTTATTGACAAAATATTTGGAGATAGCAAAAGTAGCAGTTTTAATATCAAAATTTATCTTCTCCGCTTTCCCCTTGTTCCAACAAATGAACGATACGTACTGATTGACTCATTCGATTTAATAATCGCCAATAAGAGTCAGCTTCTACACCATATGTTTTCTTGAGCTAAATTAAAAGTGTTCTTTTAAAATGAAAGATATTTTACACCATATCGTATAAAAATAAACTGCGAACCTGGAATGTACGAATTGTCTTGGGGGCCTGTCACCATATCATGGTTTACTTTTGCTTCCAATAGACTGTGCCAATATTCATTTCATTTTTATAATTGGGAAATGACAACAACGATATAAGACTATAATGTTTTAGTTAATTATAATAATAGCAGCAGCTGTGCTCTTATATTTTACTTAAATAAAATTTAACATGGATTGAGCACGGACTTACAGTTAATATTCAACATTAATTCCAAAAATAATATGAAATTCCCACTCACAATATATTTTTACACACGTAAACAAACAATATTATATTAGAAATCGTCCCTGTCTAGCTTTATTTGAAAATCGTTCAGATAATAGTTGCTAGAAACACAACCTATTTGTTTATTATTTAGAAAAAGTGAGAAATAA